TTTAAACAGAACCAGTGATACATTGATATGTGTTCTTTGGCTTGGCATTTCGTTTGAAATATATATTTTCTCCAATGTCGTGGGAAAAGCGTTTAAACGCCCTTTAGTTTGCAAATCTGAATCTCCGGTCTATAAATAACGGTCACGTGATGAGTCTCGGAATGGCTAAAAAGCGAAACAAACATTTTTTTTGTGTATCGGCAGCAACGGTGTGCGAAAGTGAAATATACCAACATTGCATAAATTTAAGAGTAAAGTATGGGTTTGTTTGTTAAATTTCTTGTTGTACACATAATGTTCCTATGAGAAATCAAATACAGTTAATGACATTCCATCCTGTAAGAAATGATAAATTTAAAAGCATGTCTCATTTGATTTGATTTTCGTTTTTTGGGTGGGTGTGGGGCGGTGGCGTCGCACAGAAACAGTGTACGTCATTATGGCGACTCTCCATCTTTACTGGTGGAGAAAGAACTCGGGTGCCTCTCTTTGCAAAATTGATGTCAGCTTTTTACGTGCATTTGATTTCTTTGCTAGAAATACTACTGTTTTTAGTCCATATAAATGTTTATATTTTGTGAATATCAAATCTATCATAGCTATGCATATGGAACTAAGAAAATGTACTCATCTTGCATGCATGTTATGTAACATGTTTATCAATCGTGGGTATCCGACGATGCTCTTTCAACAACACAGTGTATCTCAAATGCACATCATATCATACAAATATTATACAAACATTATACAAATATTATTAAAATCATGATATATTATATAATACAGAAATGCGATAACTTTTAAATAGACAAATTTTCATCTGAAATAACAGATTAACAACCTGTTATATTTGTCTCTAGTTTTTTAATTTGTGAACAACTTCGCACCTTGATGAGTCTATTTCAAAGTCATTTATTTCTAACATTTTGTACAAGACTCGTAAGTATCTCAAATTTCAGTGACTTTAAATAATATCTGATTCAGTGAATACATTATTTTAGTAAACAGACAAGTAAATATAGAGCTTCAACTTATGATATATCGTGATAATATAACCTAATCGAGTACAACACTCCAGACAAGCATATTCTTGTGATTTTATATTCATTCCATCGTGTGTTATCGCTGCTGATGTTGTTGTTGTTGTTGCTGATGTTGTTTCAATGCAAACACTATTATATGTTGTTATTAGACCTCATTGTTGTTATAACAGTGGTACGGATTGCCTGCTTCTTCTGTAGGCATATTTTGTTTATCTAGTGCCGGTATTACCTGGTACATGAAATAGTAACAAGAAAAAAAGATTTAAGAAAATGATAAAATTGGCAAGATGGAAATATGTAATTATTTGCATATTTTTTCTGTATAAAGCTAACTAGTACAATTATACTTTCTTAATTCATAGTAAATTATGTAATGTAATTTCACTTTAGTCAAAGAATATTAGAAACGGAATGATTAGTATGTAACAAAGATGAATAAAAACAACAGCAGAATGAGGCTGTTACAATGTCTCATATTAACATGAAAAATATGATGTCATACTTTGTTGATGGCAAGAAGGAAAGTACATGGCGTGACGTACAAAGTAAAAAATAGATGGAAAACCTAAAACATAATTGAACCGACATAATTTAACTTTCTAACTGTTTTTCTATAACTTTAAAAACAAACCTAAAAAAGTGTATTAAGTAGAGCAGAACCGTGCTAATTGACGGACGTCAGTGCCATTAATTGTTCAACTTTCACATACTGTAGCGACATCATTTACTTAGGTGTATAGTTATCGTCCTTGTATATACAGTAGCGACATCGCTTACTAAGGTGTATAGTTTTCGACCTTGTATATACTGTAGCGACATCGCTTACTTAGGTGTATAGTTATCGTCCTTGTATATACTGTAGCGTCATCACTTACTAAGGTGTATAGTTATCGTCCTTGTATATACTGTAGCGACATCACTTACTTAGGTGTATAGTTATCGTCCTTGTATATACTGTAGCGACATCACTTACTTAGGTGTATAGTTATCGTCCTTGTATATACTGTAGCGACATCACTTACTTAGGTGTATAGTTATCGTCCTTGTATATACTGTAGCAACATCACTTACTTTAAATGTAAGTTTTCTCCTGTATTACTGTACACATCACTTATAGTGTATATTTTCGCCTTGATATACTGTACAACTCACAATTTAAGGTTTTTAGTTCTTTCCTTTTAACTGTAGCGTAAACCTTAATTTTTGGGTTATATTATGGGCCCTTGTTATCCCTGTACCGGACATCCTTATTTTAGTGTTTTATTATCGCCTTTGATAAACGGAGGGGGACATCATTTACTTTAAATTTATTTTTTTCCTTTGTATAACTGTACGCCACCCCTTCCCAGGAAAAAAAGAAAATCGTCCTTGTAAATATTTGTAGCGACATCATTTCCCTAGGTGAAATAGTAATCGCCCTTTTTTTTTTTTTTGTTTTTATTTTAGTGTCACATTTAACTTGGGGTTTTATATTTTATCGCCCCTTGATAATTTAAAGCGAAAATTCGCTTATTTAGGTTTTTATGGGTTATCGCCCCTTGGATAAAACCTGTAGGCGACATCATTTTATTAGGGCATAGTTATTTTCCTTTTAAAACCGTAGCGCACACTTAAAAGGTAAAAAAAGTTCCTTCTATATTTTTTGTACCCGACTTCACACCTAGCTGTAAGTTTTCGCCCCTTGTTTTTACTGTATGAAAATTCCCCAAATGGGTATTTTTATGCCTTTTACATACTTACGCCACCCTTTTCCCTTGGGGTTTAAATTACCCGCCCTTGTTTTAAACCCAAAACGAAACCCACTTCCCTTTAGGTGAAATAGTTAGTCCTTGTATATACTATACGACCCCCTTATTGGGTGTTTTATTATCGCCCTTTTAAAACTTTTACGCCCATCACTTTCGGTTTAAAATTTTTCGTCCTTTATATACTAAGCGACACCCTTTACTTAGGTGTAATTATCGCCTTTTAATTTGTAGCGACCCCACTTCCCTAGGTTTTAATTATTTATCGTCCTTGTCTAAAACGTAGCGAAAATTCACTTACTTGGGTTTTAAAAATTATTTCCTTTTTTATATGTAGCTAAATAAACTTACTTAGGAAAAATAATCGCCCCTTGTAAAATCTGAAAGGGTTACCCGTTATTTAAAGGGGGTTATAGTTAAATCTCCTTGTTATATTTAAGCGAAAATCACTTAAGGGTTGTAAGTTATCCCCTTTGAATTAAGCGCCATCCCCTTACTTGGGTTTTTAATAGTTATTTTCCCTTTATTTTACTTGCGCCCATCATTCCCCTAGGTAAAGTTATGTCCTTGTATATTTTTTACGACATCATTTTCCCTGGGTTTATAGTTTATAGTCCTTATGTATAACAATAGCGTCATCACTTGTATATAGCGATCGTCCTTGTATCATCACTTTACCTATTTAGGTATATAGTTTCGTCCTTTACTATATACTTTAGCGACATCACTTACTAGGTGATATTATCGTCCTTGTATTGCTGTAGGCTTGTATTAGTATGTATCGTCGTCCTTGTATATATATAGCGACATACTGTAGCTAAATCATGTATTAGTAATCATCTTACTATTACTGTAGCAACATGTATAGTTATCGTCCTTGTATATACTGTAGCGACATCACTTAGTTAAGTGTATAGTTATCGTTCTTGTATATACTGTAGCGACATCACTTACCTAATTGTATAGTTATCGTCCATGTATATACTAATGCGACATCACTTACCTAATTGTATTGTTATCGTTCTTGTATATACTGTAGCGATATTACTTACCTAATTGTATAGTTCTCGTTCTTGTATATACTGTAGCGACATCACTTACCTAATTGTATAGTTCTCGTTCTTGTATATACTGTAGCAACATTACTACTTAATTGTATAGCTATCGTTCTTGTATATACTGTAGCGTCATCACTTACCTAATTGTATAGTTATCGTCCTTGTATATACTGTAGCGACATCACTTACTTAGGTATATAGTTATCGTCCTTGTATATACTATAGCGTCATCACTTAGTTAGGTGTATAGTTATCGTCCTTGTATATACTGTAGCGACATCACTTACCTAATTGTATAGTTATCGTCCTTGTATATACTATAGCGACATCACTTACCTCATTGTTTAGTTATCGTCCTTGTATATCCTATAGCGACATCACTTACCTAATTGTATAGTTATCGTTCTTGTATATACTGTAGCGACATCTCTTACCTAATTGTATAGTTATCGTCCTTGTATATACTATAGCGACATCACTTAACTAATTGTATAGTTATTGTCCTTGTTTATACTGTAGCGACATCACTTACTTAATTGTATACTAATTGTATAGTTATCGTCCTTGTACGCTGTAACTGCTTCTTCGTTGTTGAAGTTTTCGTACACTACAATTTCAGTTCTACTTTCAGTTGGTTTTCTCATCTTACAAGGCTTTTCATTTACTTCAAAATTAAACGATAAACAAGTTTGGAAAAAACTTAAAAGGACATTATATATTTAAAGAATGCTTTCAATTGATTAAATATGATTTGTGTACATTAAACAACTTTATTGCACATAAATATCACAATCAATAAGAGTGATGTAATTATGCAATACTAATTTTTACAAATAATGGAAGCTTAAAGCGGCAACTGAGATTGTATTCTATACATCTATCTAACCTTTATTTTGAAAGATTCACCTTTTACTTCATTATCCTGTAAGTCATTACTTTGAACGTTTATATTGCCTGTAATATCGCACTTCTTGTTGGTTTTTTGTTGTTGTTTGCGTCTACCAATCAAAGAAAAAAAAATAGTTTGATAAATTTCATTGTATAACTAGTCATTTTACAACAAGTCCATTTTAAATTAAAATTATAAAAAAAAGCAAAACGCTTGAACCTTTTAAATTCTTGTATTGTTGTCTTAATTGCCTATCGCTGTGGCAATTGTATCCTATTTTTTAAAAGAAATATTAGTGATTTACGTAAATTTACATTTGAGAACAGAATATATTTCTAAAAGATTCATTTTTTAATACCTCAAAAATGCCTTTGAAGTTTTTAATTTTCATTTTTAAAATCAATATTTACCTTCTTATAACAACAATACTAATTATTATAACTACAGCTATCACAAATAGCGATGATGTTGCTGGTATTATGATGGTTACAACACTAATACATTCTTCACATGTTTCACATTTACTTCCGGTAAATCCTTTCTTACATTTCTTACAATTCCCATCACGTGTACAGATGTTTTCTTTACATCCAACTTGACACGGTTTATCACAGTATGATCCATATTGACCTTCTCTGCAGCAAAGACATGATCCATTGCCCTGGAAACATTCGCTATCTTTGCAATAAACAGAACATGTACTGCCACACCTGACACCCCAGTGTCCCTTTACACATCCTGTATAACAATTACCGGAATCACGTGTACAAGTCTTATTTAAACAATGGTCTGAACAATCATTGTGACACGCTATGTACTCTTTACCATTTTCTTCTGTTTTTTTCCCATATTTTCCGGGTTTACATGTTATGCAATGATGCCCATAATTCTTTTTACATGACTTGCAATTTGCTGAACATGGAAGGTCACAGGTCCTGGAATAGAATCCCTCTACACATTCATCACAAACTCCACTGTGTTTCTCACATGCTGTTCCGGGATAACATCTTTCACACTGCTTCTCGCATTTTCTTCCATATTTACCATCTATGCAACGATCACAATAATCACCTTGAAAATTGTGTATACATTCACACGTTCCGGCATTGAAATCACACAGGTGATTTTTACAACCAACTGAACAGCTCCTGTTACAATAATTGCCATAATTGCGTCTGTAACAAGAGGCACAAATTTTGCTAGATTCGTTTCGAGTTTTACAATGACATAGGTGTCCACCATCTGTACAGTTATTACAATATTTGTATGATATACATGATGAACATTCCTCCCTACAACGTAGACTACAATTGGTCCTTAGTGGAGGTCGACTAACGTCGTACCGACGCTCATTGTAAAATCCATCTTTACAGATACCACATTTATCCAAAGATGAACAACTTATGCAATTTGATGGGCATTTGTAACATATATGATTGTTAAGAAAATATCCAGGTTCACATTGTTCACAAACATTATCTCTTGAACAATTGCTACAGTTGGTCATGCATTTGATTTCACAATTCTCTCCAGTCGAACATTCTTTTGTCGCAAACACTGGAACAAGGATTTATAAGCAAGATAACATACAAACAAGAAGTATCTTTAGAAAAAGATACACAACCAAAGTAAAACTGGTTTACTTGCATATGTCAGTTCTTAGTTTTCCTTGCAAAGTCATATAGAAATGTAAGCATAGCTTGCAAAGCAATGGAATAAAAAATTCTTCTTGAAAACTTATCGTGTTTCAGTTAGTGAACTCAATTTCTTACACCAACATGTACGCAGTCGGTCAGGAAATTATTTCTATGAATACTTGATTAATATGCACAAATACATAAAAAATTAGAAACATTAAATCATTTTACATCAATAATTATTGAACATCATAAACTAAGGTTACGTGATAAGTTATGATATTATTCTTTATTTTATACACAATTTAAAAGTCAGATCTTGTGTAAAATAAACTCAGTTAGTTTTTAAGTAACTACAAATGTAATGAGATCTGAATGCAAGAAGTATTGTTTTAAAGAACTTAATTATCTGAGGAACTTCACTAGAAAGTTAAAGAACTATCCTGTTTATATTACATCCTTTACATTTTATTTGATAATGGTAAGAACTATTCTTTACATTTCAGTTTAGAAATATCTGAGAATGACAAGAACTATCCTTCACAGATTATTTTAGAATGGCCAATCAGATTCCCAGATTTCGTTTTGTATTTTTAGAATGACCAATGAAAACTCTTCTTATATTTAGTTCTTCTCTGTAATTTATACAGGAAGTCAAATTGAAAACATAGCGGCCTTAGGCCGGAATTATACAGAAGGAGTGAATACGATATCATTCGATTACGAACGTCTCGACAACACGAGATAATCAATAAATGGACTTCTGAAGATAATCCTATTGATATGAAGTATTGTATTCAAGTAGCTGGTTAATATGAGTGCATTGTTTAATAAGCAAAGATATAAATTAAGTAATAATAATACTTACAACTACCAAACAGAACTGACAAAACAACAATTATCCTCATGTTTTGATTCATATATACGTTTGTAGAGCTACGATATTTGCTGTAATAAAAATTGTATATTTGATTTCAGTATAAAATATGGCAATAAAAGTATTGATAGAAGGTTATTGTTACCTAGATAATAGATTTCAGATGTCGCTTTTATCGTAATTTGCTGTGATATTGTTACCTAGATAATAGCCAAATGTTGCTTTTATCGTAATTTGCTGTGATATTGTTACCTAGATAATAGTCAGATGTCGCTTTTATCGTAATTTGCTGTGATATTGTTACCTAGATAATAGTCAGATGACGCTTTAATCGTAATTTGCTGTGATTATGTTACCTAATAATAGTCAGATGTCGCTTTTATCGTAATTTGCTGTGATAATGGTATCTAGATAATAGTCAGATGTCGCTTTTTCTCGTAATTTGCTGTGATACTGTTACCTAGATAATAGTATAGTCAGATGTCGCTTCTATCGTAATTTGCTGTGATATTGTTACCTAGATAATAGTCAGATGTCGCTTTTATCGTAATTTGCTGTGATATTGTTACCTAGATAATAGTCAGATGTCGCTTTTATCGTAATTTTCTGCGATATTGTTACCTAGATAATAGTCAGATGTCGCTTTTATCGTAATTTGCTGTGATATTGTTACCTAGATAATAGTCAGATGTCGCTTTTATCGTAATTTGCTGTGATAATGTTACCTAGATAATAGTCAGATGTCGCTTTTATCGTAATTTGCTGTGATAATGTTACTAAGATAATAGCCAGATGTCGCTTTTATCGTAATTTGCTGTGATATTGTTACCTAGATAATAGTCAGATGTCGCTTTTATCGTAATTTGCTGTGATATTGTTACCTAGATAATAGCCAGATGTCGCTTTTATCGTAATTTGCTGTGATATTGTTACCTAGATAATAGCCAGATGTCGCTTTTATCGTAATTTGCTGTGATATTGTTACCTAGATAATAGTCAGATGTCGCTTTTATTGTAATTTGCTGTGATATTGTTACCTAGATAATAGTCAGATGTCGCTTTTATCGTAATTTGCTGTGATTTTTTAGTTTAAAACTTCTTTTGGAAACGTTTGCTGCCACGAGTCACATAAAAATAAGTTTTTTTTAATCAATATATATTTCTTGTTTTGGTGTATTTTTATAAAAAAAAATTTTTATTTGAATACTTATGAAAAAAAAGAAAACCTTACCAAGGTTCTAAATATCGAAGAAAACAAGAAAAACATTAAACATTATCTGACTGGCTAGATTCACACACCACTTTATGACAAATATCCACACTATACAACAAATATCTAAATTTTATGACAAATATCTACACAATATGATAAATATCTACACTAAAAAACAAATATCTTAATGACAAATATCTTCACTATATGACACATATCTACACTATATGACACATATCTACACTGTGTGTTTAAATATTTTCTGTTTTATTTTGATTGTCCTCGTGCTTGACTTGTAACACTAGTTAATTATAACCATTGTTTGGGTGTCCGTCTCCTTGACCGAATAGTCAGATCACTGACTTTAAACAAGAAAAAAAATAAGTACAAGAAAGACATGATTGTCATTCCGCATTTCTATGTATAGTGTAAAATGCTCTGCTGGAATACTCAGCTGGCTTGGCAATCTAGCAAAGCATTCCTAAACATAGTGTAAAAATGCTCTGCTGGCTTGGCAATCAAGCAGTGCATTCCTAAATATAGTCTTAAAATACTCTGATGGAATGCTAAGCTGGCTAGGCAATCTAGCAGTGCATTCCTAAATATAGTGTAAAAATGCTCTGCTATAATGGTCAGCTGAATTTGCAATCTAGCAGGTTATTCCTTAATATAGCGTAAAAATGCTCTGCTGGAATGCTCAGCAAGCTTTGCAATCTAGCAGGTTATTCCTTAATTTAGTATAAAAATGATCTGCTGGAATACTCAGCTGGCTTTGCAATCTAGCAGGTTATTCCTTAATATAGCGTAAAAATGCTCTGCTGGAATGCTCCGCTGGCTTTGCAATCTAGCAGGTCATTCCTTAATATAGCGTAAAATGCTCTGCTGGAATGCTCAGCTGGCTTTGCAATCTAGCAGGTTATTCCTTAATATAGCGTAAAAAAGCTCTGCTGGAATGCTCAGCTGGCTTTGCAATCTAGCAGGTTACACCTTAATATAGCGTAAAAATGCTCTGCTGGAATACTCAGCTGTCTTGGCAAACTAGCATTTCCTAAATATAGTGTTAAAATGCTCTGCTGTAATACCCAGCTGGCTAGGTAATCTAGCAGGGCATTCCTTAATATAGGATGAAATGATCTGTTGTAATACTCAGCTGTCTTGGCAATCTAGCAGGGCATTCCTAAATATAGTATGAAAAATGCTCTACTGTAATACGCGGCTGTTTTGGCAATGTAGCTTGCTTGCCAGTCTAGCAAGGCATTCCTAAATATAGTGTAAAGAATTCTCTGCTTGCTTGCCAATTTAGCGGGCATTCCTAAATATTGTGTAAAAATGCTCTGCTGTAATATTCAGCTGGCTAGGTAATCTAGCAGGGCATTCCTAAATATAGTGTAAATATGCTTTGCTGAAATGCTTAGCTGGCTAAGCAATCTAACAGGGCATTCCTGAATATAGTATAGTGTTAAAATATTCTGCTGGAATGCTGAGCTGGCTTTGAAATCTAGCAGGGAATTCCTACATGTAGGGTTAAAATGTTCTGCTGAAATGCTCAGCTGGCTTGGCAATCAAGCAGGACATTACTAATTAAAGTGTAAAATGCTCTGCTGAAATTAACAGCTGGCTGTGCAATCTAGCGAGACATTACTAAATATAGTGTAAAATGCTCTGCTGTAATATTCAGCTGGCTAGGCAATGTAACAGGGCATTCCTTAATATAGTGTTAAAATTCTCTGCTGGGATGCTTAGCTGGCTTTGCTATCTAGCAGGGCATTACTTAATATAGTGTAAATAATGCTCTGCTGGAATGATCAGCTGGCTAGGCAATCTAGCAGTGCATTACTAAATATAGTGTAAATAATGCTCTACTGGAATGCTCAGCTGGCTAGGCAATCTAGAAGTGCATTCTTCAATATAGTGTTAAAATGCTGTGCTGGTATGCTTAGCTGGCTTTGCAATCTAGCAGAGCATTACTAAATATAGTGTTAAGAATGGTCTATTGGAACGCTCAGCTGGCTAGGCAATCTAGCAGTACATTCTAAAACATAGTGTTAATATGCTCTGCTGGAATGCTAAGCTGGCTTGGCAATCTAGCGGGGCATTACTTAATATAGTGTAAAAATGCTCTGAGGTAATATTCAGCTGGCTAGGCAATGTAGCAGGGCATTCCTTAATATAGTGTTAAAATTCTCTGCTGGATGCTAAGCTGGCTTTGCAATCTAGCAGGGCATTACTAAATATAGTGTAAATAATGCTCTGCTGGAAAGCACAGCTGGCTAGGCAATCTAGTAGTGCATTACTAAATATAATGTAAATAATGCTCTGCTGGAATGCTAAGCTGGCTAGGCAATCTAGCAGTGCATTCCTAAAAATTGTGTAAAATTCTGTGCTGGAATGCTTTGCAATCTAGCAGGGCATTACTAAATATAGTATAAAGAATTCTCTGCTGGAATGCTCAGCTGGCTAGGCAATCTAGCAGTGCATTCCTAAATATAGTGAAAAAATGCTTTGCTGGAATGCTCAGCTGGCTTGGCAATCTAGTGGGGCATTCCTAAATACAGTGTTAAATGCTCTGCTGAAATGCACAGCTGGCTTTGCAATCTACCAAGGCATTACGTAATATAGTGTAAAAATGCTCTGCTGTAATGCTAAGCTGGCTTTGCAATCTAGCAAGGCATAACTAAATATAGTGTAAAAAATGCTCTGCTGTAATATTCAGCTGGCTAAGCAATGTAGCATGGCATTATGAAATATAATTAAAATAATGCTCTGCCTGTAATGCTCAGATGCAAGGCAATTTAGCAGGGCATTCCTTAATAAAAGCGTAAAAATGCTCTGCTGAAATGCTCAGCTGGATTGTCAATCTAGCAGGGCATTCCTTAATATAGTGTGAAATGCTCTGCTTGAATGCTCAGCTGGCTTTACGATCTGGCAGTGCATTCCTAAATTTAGTATAAAAAATGATCTGCTGTAATACTCAGCTCGCTTGCCAATTTAGCAGGCATTCCTAAATACAGTGTTAAATGCTCTGCTGAAATGCACAGCTGGCTTTGCAATCTACCAAGGCATTACGTAATATAGTGTAAAAATGCTCTGCTGTAATGCTAAGCTGGCTTTGCAATCTAGCAAGGCATAACTAAATATAGTGTAAAAAATGCTCTGCTGTAATATTCAGCTGGCTAAGCAATGTAGCATGGCATTATGAAATATAATTAAAATAATGCTCTGCTGTAATGCTCAGATGGCAAGGCAATTTAGCAGGGCATTCCTTAATAAAGCGTAAAAATGCTCTGCTGAAATGCTCAGCTGGATTGTCAATCTAGCAGGGCATTCCTTAATATAGTGTGAAATGCTCTGCTTGAATGCTCAGCTGGCTTTACGATCTGGCAGTGCATTCCTAAATTTAGTATAAAAAATGATCTGCTGTAATACTCAGCTCGCTTGCCAATTTAGCAGGCATTCCTAAATATAGTGTTAAAATGCTCTGCTGTAATACTCAGCTGGCTAGGTAATCTAGCAGGGCATTCCTAAATATATTGTAAATATGCTTAACTGAAATGCTTAGCTGGCTTGGCAATCAAGCGGGGCATTACGAAATATAGTTTAAAAAATGCTCTGCTAAAATGCACAGCTGGCTGTGCAATCTAGCAAGGCATTACTAAATAAAGTGTAAAAATGCTCTGCTGTAATATTCAGCTGGCTAGGCAATGTAGCAGGTTATCCCTTAATATAGTGCTAAAATTATCTGCAAGATGCTTAGCTGGCTTTGCAATCCGGCAGGGTATTACTAAATATAGTGTAAATAATGCTCTGCTTGAATGCTCAGCTGGCTAGGCAATCTGGCAGTGCATTCCTTAATATAGT